AAAATGTTGCATTTGAGTCAGGCTGGGAGGCAGCAAGAGTGTAAATTTTGGTCTGACAAAAAAAAGCAGCGGTGGGTGAAATGTTGTGACCATTGACAAATTTTCTAGAGAACTCGTTGAGAAATCCAGCAAAACTCATTCTTTCCAGTGGAAAGCCTTCACATTTCTCTGGATCTGCATTTTCATAGAATAATAGATTTTTATCAAAAATTTCCAACAAGCCGTTCCTCTAACCCAGGAGGAAATTATCTTCCCTGCAACTCAATTATAGCACCTTTTTAGTCCCTTTTTCCTTTTTTTTTCCCTCTTTTTTTCTCTTTCTCTCTATGGGGATGAACCAGAGCCTCACCTACTTCCAGAGCTGAGGAATATCCTGGGAGCTGATGGCAGATCTCACCCCTCAAGCCACCACAGCCCAGCAGAGTAGGGAGAATGCTCCTCACCCTCTGCATTAAGCAGAGCTGAAATGAACCTGAATCTCACCAACGCTGATGAGATGAAGATCACGTGCTTCAGGCTGTTTCACCCAGCTGAAGGTATGTCCCCCTCCAGAAATGCTGCTGGAGGTACCATTTCTTTTATTTTTTCCTGATACTGCTGCAACACCCATTCCCAAATAGGATTGATCTCATCAATCCCCATCCTCGTGCTCCCCGTGCTGGGCTGCCTTGGACGTGCTCCTAGGGAATGTGGTGCTTATTCTACAGCTTTGGGATGGGACAGGAGGCTGGTGGCACCTCCAGGACACCAGCCCATGCATCCCTCCATGCCTAGGGCTGTGCTGCCACTGCTTCCCATTATCCCTCTCTGCCACAGCAGCTCTGACTCAACACAACTCCCCTGGCAGCCGTTCCCAGCCTGGAGGGTGGGGTCGGGCATGTTGTTCATGACACTTTCCTCCTCTCTGGGGGGGCTCTGGCCAGGCTGGGACCTCCCCATGGGGAGCGTGTCCCCCCATGCCCCCCTGCCTTGCACAGCCCTGTGCTGCCCCTGGGGCATCACTTCCCCGGGATGGGGGGGATGCAGATGTTGCCACATGTTGTGCAGCTGGATCCTGGACCCCCCAACCCAGCTGTGCCTGCAGAGCCTGCCCTGGGCTGCTGCTCCGGGACACTGCCCTGGCAGCTCTGTCACAGCAGCACAAGGAGTGTCACCGGGTGTGATTCTCCTTCCAGCAGGAGCAGCCCCTCAGTCCCTGCTCCCAGTTTGGGGGCACTGGATGGCTGTGGGGACAGGTCACGCTGGGAAGTGACTCTGGAGGGGATAAACTGGCAGGATTGAGTCCCTGCCACCCCCAGCCCGTTCTCAGCACCCGTCCTGTGCTCCTGACTCCAGCACTGCCTCGGAAAGAGGAAGGAGATGGTTTTGCTGAAGGACAGCAGAGCTCCACAGCAGGGTGGGCACTGGCACCCAGGGTGACCCTCACTGTCCCCAGCCTCAGGAGGGGACAGGAGGCTCACGGTGCCCACCAGCAGCTGGGATCTCATCCCCAACCTCTGGGACGTGGCAGGAGCTGGCTGGGGAGCAGAACCTGCCTCTCCAGGACGTCAGTGCCACATGACTGCGGTGCCACTGCGTCACTGCCACAGCCCCGGGCAGAAGGATGTGGCTCCTCGTGTGGTCAGGCAGTAGGTGAGCGTGGGGTGGGGAGCACTGAGGTCACCAGGGGCCTGAGGGGGGACACTGATGGCAGGGGAACCCCTGGGAGGTCCCCTCCCAAGGTGCCCCTCCTGAGCCTGGGAGCCACAAGCCCTTGGGAGCAAGGACGGTGAGTGGGGAGGGGTCCCCATGTGCTCACACGGGTCACAAACCATTCAGGGGTGTTTGCTTTGGCCCCTGCCCAAGTGCCAGTGGTGAGGGACATCTTTGGCCATCCAGGACAACTGGCTGATGTTCCTCCATCCCAGGAGCCAGCTCTGTGTGCAGACAAGCCCTGACCCAGCACCAGGTGTGCTACTTCCCCTCTGGCAGTGTCCCCAGGATGGCCAACACCAGGCAGGTGGAGAACGACATTTCCCAGTGTTTCTCCCTGCTCAGCACCGACCGAGGGAGCCCCAGCTGGGGGCCGAGGAAGGGAAGCATTTCCTGGGCTGGGAATCCCCTCCTGCCTCCCTCCTTCCCCAGAGTCTGCCCTGGAAGGGGAAGGAAGGGGTATTTTTAGCACTTGCCCTACACTTGTTTCAAGGTCTGAGCTAAGAAGAGGAATTGACGTTCGAAGAAAGGTTGGTTTGGCTTTAAAAGGAAGGGTTTAGTTTTTTCCTGCAACTCAGTCCTTGCAAAACTTTTCTGTGAAGAGGGATTGGTAAAAGTACCTCTCGTAGGAGGCAGCCCTGGGCAGGGCACTGGTGTCACAGCTCCCTGTGCTGGCACTGCTTCCAGTGCCCTTGTCTTCCACATTCCAAAGGGAGGGATGGGGTGGGACTAATCCTCCCTATCCCAATGCTGATCATGGCTCCCATCACCTGCAAAGTGAGTCCCTCCTGCCAGCCCATCCTCCCATGGTTCCTCTCTGCATTCCTGCTCTCCAGCAGCTTTTCCTGACCACTGCTCACAGCTTCTGAACCCCCTGGGGACCCACGTGCCTTCCCAGCTGCCGTCCAGCACCAGTATTGTCCTGGCAACCCACTGGAGATGCTCCAGGTCCCGCAACAAGACACCACCCACACCTTGAGGAGGAGTTTAACTGAATGGCACAAGGTCAGTGGGGGGAAAGCACCTTGTTGACCCCAGGAGCCGGTGGGAGCAGGTTCTCCAGGACCGAGGGCACGTGGTGGCCCTTAAGAGCCAAACCAGTGGCCAGAAGGTGGCAATATCCCCCCTTTGTTCTGGCCCTGACAGCAAAAGGTCCCTCCTTGTGCAGGGGATGGGGCCGGTTTGGTTGGGAATCTCTTAAAATCATGGAGTGGTTTGGGTTGGAAGGGCCATTAAAGCCCATCTCCTAGACATTCCCAAAACACAGCATTGCCTGTGCTTGGCAATTCCTGCCTCGCATGTGCCGGATGAATCTCTGCCTTCCCTCTGCCCACTGAGCACGTGATGCCCGAAAAACCACCCAGGCACCTCCCAACAGTGACAAGAGCAGCTTTTCCTGGTCAGAAAATTCCTGATCCCTCCAGACGCTGCTCAGATTTCCCCTCAGTGTTCCCCTCAGGGCCTGAGGCTGAAAAGGGAACTTGGGGGGATCTGATTTCATAACACCAAAATCCTCAGGGCTGGAGCGAGAGGGGCGCAGTGTGGTCACTGTGTCTGTGTGTCAAGGGAAGAGAAGGATCTGCAAAAGCCATGACTGGGAAGGTGAGGTGCGACAGGAATTCCAGGGACTTCCAGAGCACCTGAGGACCAGCAGAGGAACTGACCCAAGAAAGGTGGAAGCTGTGGGAGGTCAGTCTGACCTTGGTCTCTCATCAAAGACTAGGAATAATTCCATGGGGAAGAACCCAACCTCACCCCGGGCCCTGAGGGGTCTGGCAGCACCATGCCCTGGTCACACAGCACTTGGTCCCACAGTGGGTGCTGCTCCCTGGGGCTCCTCTACCTCCTCCTTGAGGTCCTGTGATGGGTGTGAGCAAAACTCACCATGTCAGGGGGTTCACAGGGGTGGTTTCTCATTGCAGAGCCCTTGGAGAAGCGGATCAGGTTCATCTCTGCCACCTGGGATCGGAGCCAGTCCGTGACCTTACACAGCAGCACCAGCCCTCAGGTACCACCGGAGTAAAACAAAGAGCAGCTCTCTCAAGCAGCAGGGATGGTGGAGGGGACTTTGGGCTGAGGAGGGAGCAGCTGAGTTGGCCTGAAAATCCAAAAACTCACAGAAAACCAAGAAAATTGCCGCCTGCCCCACAGTGCTGTTGGGTTTCAGCCCTAAGGGGTGCACTGACTGTCCCAGAGTTCAGGATCCGTGTGGGCAGCAGGTAAAAGCACCTTCCAGTGAGAGTGGAAGTTGCCCAGCCAGGGAGAAAGTGAAAGCCTAAAGAATAGCCTTCAGCCTTTGACTGTTTCCAAAACCTGGTGTCAGCTGAGCTAGTGTCTCAAATGTCACTTCCCACGGTGGGAAAAAAACAGCCTACCTGGTTCCTCAAGGTCTTCACGGCACCAGGCAGCACTTTTGGTTCTGTACTTATGGAAGGGAGAGATTCAGAGAAATCCACCTTGTGACAGGCATGTGCCACCCATGGGGATGTCACTCTGGAGCAGCTCCTGCCCAGGCAGGCACCATTTCCTGGCTCCATCATTTCTGCCAGCCTTAATCTGAATATCTGAATGTGTTTTTTCAGCTTTTTGTAAAGCAAATAAGGGAGGGGGCAAAGACAGAAATCATGAGCCTTTGCCTACCTGAAAGGAGGTTGGAGCATAGTGGGGGTCGGGCTCTTCTCCCAGTGACAGGATGGGAGGAACAGCCTCGAGTTGTGCCAGGGGAGGTTTAGTTGGATATTGGGAAAAATTCCTCATGGGAAGGGTTGCACAGGCTGCCCAGGGCAGTAACACCCCTGGAGGGATTTCAAAGCCCTGTGGATGAGGCACTTGGGGACATGGGTCAGTGGTGGCCTTGGCAGTGCTGGGGGAACATCCTGCAGCCTCTCATCCCTTAACCCCCTCCCGGGTGCTGTTTCGGGGATGATCGCTGCCAAAAACAGCTGGACCCCCCTCCACCCCCCCTCCTTGTCCCTGTCCTGCTGTGAATGGCACCGAAACTGCCTTTGTTCCCCTCCCCGGGCGGGGGCAGGACCTGCCGCCGGCTGCTATAAAAGGGAGCGGGGGTGCCGAGCAGCCCCAGCCCCGCTCCCGGTCCCCATCCCAGTCCCATCCCCAGTCCGGTCCCATTCCTGGCCATGGGCCACCCCAGTGCCACCGTGCTGCTGTGCCAGCTGGGTGTCTCCACAGCCATCCAGTGGCTGTGAGTCGGGATTCCCCCCTTCCCTGTTCCCCTCCTTCGGGGCTCCCCCTGTGTTCCGTGGTCCCCCGCCCCACTGACCCCCTCCTGTTCCCACAGCGGGCTGACGGAGAGCGGCAGCGGCGTGTCCTGGAACGAGAGCCAGCACTGCCGGCTGCTGGTGCCGGAGCAGCTCCAGCTGTGCCGCCGGAACCTGGAGGTGATGCCCAGCATCGTGCGGGCCGCCCGCCACACGCAGGCCCTGTGCCAGCAGAGCTTTGCAGACATGAGGTGGAACTGCTCCTCCATCCAGCGAGCCCCCAGGTTTGGCCCTGACCTGCTGAAAGGTAAAGGATGCTCCTCCCGCCGTGTCCGTGCTCCCCACGGAGCATCCCGGGATGGCAGCACCTTGGTGCTGCTGCAGCTCAGCTCTGCCTTGGGTATCCATCGTGGAGTGAATTTGCTGCCTTTACAGGGTGTTAATCCTGCGTAATTCCATCTGTGGGAGGTGACAGACAGTAACTTCCATTTCAAACGTCTCCATAAAAAAGGGGGAGAGGTGGGAAGACAAGCTGTGTATGGACACTGTAACACAGTGTGGGGGGCACAGGTTAAAAACACGCTGCACGGGAAATGAGAGCCTTGGGTTCATCCTGCTGCGAGATTTTTAGGAAACACATTTATTTGCATTGTGAGGTCTTTGGGAGGAGTGTCTGGCTGGGCAGGGAGGAAGGACATCTCCCCCTCTTCTTCCCAGGGACCCGGGAAGCCGCCTTTGTGTACGCCCTGGCTGCTGCCACCATCGCCCACGGCATCGCCCGGGCCTGCGCCTCGGGAGAGCTCCCGCTCTGCTCCTGCGGCTCCGGCCCCCCCGGGGACCCCGGCCCGGGGGGCAGGTGGGGGGGCTGCGGGGACAACCTCAGCTACGGCCTCCAGCTCGGGGCCGCCTTCGCCGACAGCTCCTCCAGGTCCGGCAAGCTGGGGACACACGGGAGGAAAGCCATGAACCTGCACAACAGCGCCGTGGGCAGGACGGTGGGTGTGGGACCACTGGGGTGCTGCAGTCTGGGATGGTGGGTGTGGGATCACTGGGGTGCTGCAGTCTGGGATGGTGGGTGTGGGATCACTGGGGTGCTGAGGTCCAGGAGGGTGGGTGTGGGACCACTGGGGTGCTGCGGTCCAGGAGGGTGGGTGTGGGATCACTGGGGTGCTGCAGTCTGGGATGGTGGGTGTGGGATCACTGGGGTGCTGCAGTCTGGGATGGTGGGTGTGGGATCACTGGGGTGCTGAGGTCCAGGAGGGTGGGTGTGGGATCACTGGGGTGCTGAGGTCCAGGAGGGTAGGTGTGGGACCACCGGGGTGCTGCAGTCCACGATGGTGGGTATAGAGCCCACCAGGACTGCACAGTGGGTCAGATAGTGGGTATGGAGCCCACTGGGACTCTGCAGTCTAGGATGGTGGGTATGGAACCCCCCAGGAATGCTGGAGCCCAGACTGGTGGGTATGGATGCCCCAGGACTACTGCAGCCCAGCACACCTTGGAGCAGCCCAGAGCAGGGGCAGAGGTGCCCAATTTAGGGTGTCAGACTCCAGCCAGGCTGTTGGGGTGTTGTCTGAACATCGAGAGGCAACTAAATGGTTAAAAAGTGTCTTTGCAGACTGCCCCCACAGCTGCTCCCCCAGACATCCTGCACCCCTTCCACAACCAGCACAAGACATCTCCCACTTCATATCAGTACTCCCAGTGCTTCTTTCCACCCTCCTCACTGGAAGCAGAAGCTCCCCAGCCCATCTGGGTTTTGTGCTTTCATGCCCTCCTGTTCCCCAGCCCCAGTGCCAGCTCCCACAGGTAGTTCCTTAAGGATCAGGTTCTTATCAGAAGGGATTAAAGGAGGGCTGAGCCCTGACTGCCCTGTTATATTAATTTAAATGTGGCAATGAGTGGAGCTCTTTCATCTCTTTAAACTTGCCATGGATGCCCTTGCAAGTCAATCCACGGGGCGGGTACCAGGAGAAAGCAAACTTCCCTGTTTTCCTGTCCCTGCAGGTGCTGAGTGACTCCCTGGATACCAAGTGTAAATGCCACGGTGTTTCGGGCTCCTGTTCAGTGAAGACCTGCTGGAAGGGACTGTCAAGCCTGGATGAAATTGCCTCTGACCTCAAGTCCAAGTACCTGGCAGCCATCAAGGTGTCCCACCGGCTCGTAGGGCCCAGGAAGCAGCTGATAGCCAAGGATATGGATGCCAGGCCAGTGACAGAGACAGATCTGGTTTATCTCATCAACTCTCCTGACTACTGCACCCCAAATCTCCAGCTGGGGTCTCTGGGGACACAGGACAGGTAATAAGCTCTAATTTCATGACTGTCTGTACTGTTGGGTTTGAGAGCAGGTCCTGGGAAGTGGTGTGGGTGGGCTGAGCACAGGTTGCCCAGAGAAGCTGTGGCTGCCCCATCCCTGGAAGTGTCCAGGGCCAGGTTAGATGGGACTTGGAGCAACTTGGGCTAGTGGGAGGTGTCCCTGTCCATGGCAGGGGTTGGGACTGGATGGGTTTTAAGGTCCCTCCCAACCCGAACCATTCCATGGCTCTGTGGTCCCGCTGTGGCCAGGACCAGCCCGGGTGGGCAGGTCCCCCAGCTCAGCACCCTCCTCTCCACAGGCAGTGCAACAAGAGCTCGGTGGGCAGTGCCAGCTGTGCCCTGCTGTGCTGTGGCCGTGGGTACAACACGTACACGGAGGAGGTGGAGGAGCGGTGCCACTGCCGCTACCGCTGGTGCTGCTCCGTCGTGTGCAGGAGCTGCCGGCGCAGGGTGGAGAGACACGTCTGCAAATAACAGCCCAGGGCTCTGCTGGTGCCCTCCAGGAACAGCTGGAGACCGGACACCCATCCCAGGGGGTGCTCCGAGCGAGGAGGGGGCTGTGCAGGAAGCCTGGCCTCACACTGCCGTGGAAAACCTCACCCTGAGAGATTCTGGGAAGCCTCCGGTCCCTTCCAACCCAAACCTGAGGGCAGGACAAAGGGCTGCCCTCCTGCAGCTGGGCAGTGTCCAGCCCTGCCTCCAGCTGGGACCAGCCATTGATCACTCCACAGGAACAGCTCCTCTCTCCAGTGTGAATGGGGACCCTGGGCTTCCATTGTCCCTTTGCAGGAGGTTCTGACAGCCAGGAGTGATGGATGGGAAGGGGGCAGAGTTATCCATTGGGAGAAGGCTGGAGGGACAGAAAGCTGCTTCGGGTCAGGGGATCATGGGCAGCTCCTCTGGGGACAATTCTGCCATGGGTTCACCCAACACCACTGGATGTTCCTCCTCTGGAGCAAACACTGGTCCAGGGCCACTTGCAGCATCGGAATAAAGACCAGGCTTGGACACAGATAGAACCAGTCATTGCTCCAGGAGCCAGGACTCATCAATCCTCCCCAGGACCTGCATAGACATGGCTGCTGCTCTCATTGGTGGCAGACAGACCAGGGACGGGAGAGGTCCTGGAGGCTGCTAAAACAGGGCAAAACTGCTCCTGCCAGCTGTGGGTTACCAACACTGCCATGGCACCACTGGAGCTTCTGCCCTCTGGGCTCCTCTTGGAGGTGGAAGCCCACTCAATGCATGGAATCCTCATGGCTTGTCCTTCCTGCCATTTCTCTTGGACCACTGAGGTCTTTAGCCCACTCTTTCCACTCCCTCAGGACCAGGTGTGCTGGAAGTCTGGCCTGGAGAGGGGACATGACTCTGGGGCCCTGGGGAAGCAAGAATGAATCTTTAGTCTCTGTACTTCCTGTAAGTGGGATTCTGGTGTGTGTTTTTTAAATAAATGTATTCTATCCTAACTCTCTATGGCTTGTTTTGTAGGACAACCTCCTTCCTCCATCTCTCTCTCAGCTGGCCCAGAGAAAGTGAGGGTGTAAGGAGGGCACAAAGCCCTGTGTCCATACAGCCCTGTGTCCTTACTTTTCCTTACATGGATCTGAGGACCAGTTCACTTCTAATTCTTTCTGCTGCTCACTGCCCCAGATTTGTCTGTAATTACAGGTACCTGCCAGTCTCAGCTCCTGCTCACACATGGAAGGTTTTATCACCAGCCAGCAAAGAATCTGCCTTCCTGGGATTCAGGGCTGGTGGTTGGAAACCGAGGCAGTCCAGGATTGTTTTCTGATCCTTGGGAATATGAGCTGGACTAGCCAAGTGTGTGTGTGAACAGTGAGGAGTTGGGGCTCTGGTGGCCCCCATTTCCTCAGTGAGGAATCTGGCCAAGCGCTTGGATGGGATAAGAGATTCCTGTTCGTGCAGCCCTTGGAGAGAAAGGATGAGTCCAAATACACAGGTGCTGCGGAGACCCCACAGGTAAATGGGCTGGGAATCCTCGGGTGATTTCCCGCAGCTCACACCAGGACCTGGTGTGCTCCTGCTTTATTTGTCATTCCCACTGAATGGAGTTGGCAGCGCTCAGCCCGAGTCCAGCTGGACGATTACTCATTTCCATATTCATTCAATCATTTTTAACAGTCTCTGCTGGGTCACGGAATCAATTCATGAGCTTTTCTTGTAAACCATCCCCTCCCCTTAATGTGCTCCAGGTTTCTGCGTGAGCAGTGAAGGAGAGTCAGAGGTGGCTTGGGATGACCCTGGGAGCCGGAGGCTGTGCCTGTGTTCTCGCAGTTAAAGGAGTGAGTTAACAGTTATCGTTATCAGTTGCTAATGAGCCATTACTGGCTCTGCCTGCTGCCTTCTCCCTCTCCGAGCGCCAGGAAAGCCGCAGCTGCCAGACTTCCAGAGCAGCTGCCCAAGGCCAAAAGTTATCTCGGGTTTTTCTTTTAAAATGCAATTAGGGTCAGTCCTCTGCATTCCTCGGAAAAGGGAGTTTCAGCTGCCAGGCTGCGAAACAGCTGCAGTTTCTGTGTCCGGAGGGATGCAGGTACTTAATTAGGAGGATTGCTTAAATGCTCCCTCCATCCAGCTCCCAGCGCACCCCAGATCAGAGGAGGTGACAACGGGAGGGGCTGCGAACTCCACGGAGCGTTGCAAAACGAGCTGGTGAGAGGAAAAAACAGGGGGAAGGATCGTGTGGAGTGAGGGCTCCAGCCAGGAGGGTGGGAAATGTGATTTGCATTTGGTAACTACAAACACGCACAGCCTGGGGTGGAGGAGAGGAGCCACAATAGCAAGGAATGCCCGGGGGAGCTGTCACGATCCCCTTCCAGAGAGCTCCCATCGGAATTTCTGCCTGGAAAGAAAAGCAGGGTCAAGTGCTGAATATGCAGAATCCACTCCTCCTCTCCCTCCTTGACTCCAAGCCCGACAGGGAAGAGCTGGGGAAGGACTGGAGGGGTCACTCAGCCCCCGGGATCCCGGCTCCGTTTGTGTCCTGCGGGAAAGGGGAAGGCGCAGTAATTAGTTGGAGGGTGCAAAGGGTCGGGCAGGAAGGAGGTGACAGCTCGGTGACAATGCTCTGACGGAGGGTGTTGGAATCCGGGCCCACACCTGGAATTAGCAGGGATGTGAGATCTGCTGAGCTGGAACGACCCCCGGGGACCAGGAGCCAGAGGATGGGTGCAGTGGGAATAGATGCTGTGCTTGGCCCCAGGGGTTGGGGGGATCCGTTGGCTGGTTGTGTTTTCTCCCTCTAACCCTGTTTGGATGGAAAAGCCAGGGGGAAGGTGCCAGAGGAACAGAGCTCCTTCCCCCAGCCCGAGCCAGCAGTCCCTGAGGTAAAAAATGGGAAAACTTGGACCCTGTTATCACTCTCCAGCGGCTTCCAGCACCAGTCAGTGCAACACTCTGCCAGAGAAATCGGTGCAAGAAAGCTTTTCTTGAGCCTTCTGTGTCTTTTCTTCCACCCCAAACACCTCCAGCTCTGGCAGGGACCCAGATAATCCCTGGCAGTGTCCCCAAAATTGAGACCGTCTCTGACAATTGTGGCTTTCCAGCCCTCCAGACACTTCCTCAGGCGGTTCCTTGTCCTCTCCAGGCTGTGACAGGCTGCTGGCACTGCCCTCTGCCCCCCCAGCCCTCCCTGCTAATGTGACAGATCTACCTCCTCGACATTCCTGTCATTAGCCTTTTTTTCCCCAACGTCTTGTGGCTTTTTGTTTACCCATCTCTCTGGAAATGAGACTCCTCAGAGCCAAATTCTCCCCAGCCATGGCAGGAGCCTTTCACACTCTGATGCTGTGAGCTGACATGGGAGGGATGGCTTGGAGAATGGCTTGTGCAGGGAAGAAAACCATCCTGCTCCATGGAATGTGGTGAGATCCAGACAAAGGGTTTTCTCTGAAAAGGCTCCTCTCCATTATGCTGGACTTTAATTTGGGTTTTAAGGCAGTAACACTGGTGTGAACGTGATCATTTGCTGCTGGTCATACTTGTGCAGACAACAAAGTCTGGAGAAAAGTCCCTTATTTTCATGGACTTATTTATTTTTCCTTTTATTTCCTTATTCACTGAGGGATGCTGCATAGCTCATTCCAGGAGGGTTATCTGAGCAAGGAAAACAAGCTGTTGGTAATTAAGTATTTTGGAGTAAGAATGACTCTGTGTTCAAGGACATGTTGGGATGTTTCTTCCCTACAGGCCTGGATTGCAGCTTGGACTGGAATGTGGATCAGGACCTCCACCCGCCTTTCCTTGTGCTCTTCCCAAGAGAGCTGAGCCAGGAGGAGAAGGCCTGGGACAGGGCTCAGCTGTTGGTCAACATCTTACAGAATCATGGAATCCTGAAATGGTTTGGGTTGGGAGGGACCTTAAGGATCATCCAGTTCCACCCCCTGCCATGGGCAGGGACACCTTCCACTAGACCAGGTTGCTCCAAGCCCTGTCCAACCTGTGCTGCTGGAAATATTTGGGGGATGTTGCTCTGACCTTTGGGATGGTTGGGCCCTACACTGTCACACCACGAGACACACAAATGAGTAAATGCCTGTATTGAAGGAAAAACCCTTCCATCTCTGTTCTCCTTTATTCCTGGGGTACTCAGCAATATCATGATGCTCTGAGGATGACAAATAACAACAGGGATTGTCCTCTTGGGGATCTTCAGCTGAGGGTCAGGGACAGATCAACAGAGGTGAGTAAGAGCCATGAGACCTGAGGGGGAACCAGCTGCAGCCTGGGGAGCTTTGGGATGTGGCAATGGCTGTGTGGGGTTTGGAGGGGAAGCAGCCATCCATCCCTTAGGATCGTGGAATCCTGGAATTTGCACTGGAAATGTCTTTTGCTCTGGTCCTTAAAGTGCTGCTGAAACTTTGGCTCCTGGCAGTTGCAGGGGCGATGGTGTGACAGGTTTCCTGCAGCTTTTAACTAACAAATGGGAAGGGGAAGGTGCTGCCTGGAGAGAGGCTTCGCTCTGGTGGGAGTGAACTGGTTGTAGCTGGAGCATCTTCTGCCGGTGAAGAACAAATGGCTGTGGATTCCTGGCTCCATCCCGCCTCTAAAGATTATAGTAATGAATTTTCCCAACTTGTTCCTCACCTTCTGCCCATGCAGGAACCCCTCAGTGACCCAGCCCTGGACATCCCTCCCAGCCGGGTGGTCCCAGGGAGGTGACAGGACCCTCCCGGCTTCTGTGAGTAACATTTTATGGCACAATCCGACATAGGTGTGAAGAAAACAAATAGAATAAATCATAAACTGAGTAATTCTTAGAGGCTGAGTTAGAAATACTCAGCAGTAGTGGCTGTTCGCAACCAGGTCAATCATCTCTGTTATCACCTCTGTTTCTGAGGGAGCAATGCCAGCTCCTAAAAGCCCAGATTTAACTCTGACCTGGCTCGTTCCTGGTTGAATTTCAGAGATTTTAGGAGATAAATAAAAAAGAAATGAGAAAAGTGCTGTGTCCCCCTTGTGCTGTAGAGAGAATAGAGATGAAATGGAAGGTGCTGTGCTTGAAACCAGATCGATATTTATTAGCAGCAGCTCATATCGAGGATTCATACTGTGTATCCCTTTTATACAACGGGAAGGTGGATGTTTTGTAGCAATTTATCCAATTGTCCCAATTTTTCCCAGTTTCCCAGCCGACTGCCCTAGGGGTTCCCTGCCAGGACCTGGCGTGGTCGGTGCCAGGCAGGACCTGGCAGGGAAAAGCGTGGGCTCACTGGGGGCCTGTGAGAGCCCAGAGCCGCACCGAGGCGCGCCTACCCACCGCCCTGCGCCCACCGCGGGGGTCTCGTGGGGTTTCACAGCCCGGGGATGATCGCGGAGCCCACCGGGCCCAGTGCCGTCCGTCCGACCTCCCCAACATGGCGGCACCGCGTTGCCGGTGCCCTTCTCAAGATGGCGGCGGGGCAGGGCCGGGGGTGCCGACGCGCCGGAAGTGGCGTTCGGGGGCGGTCCCGGGCCCGTGATGGCGGAGGCGGGCGCGGGCAGCCCGCGGCTGGCGGAGCTGCTGGCGGCGGGACGGCGGCTCTTGGACGAGGTGGAGGCGGGAGCCGAGCCCTCCTCGGGCGCCCCGGCCGTGCAGGACAAGGTGCGGCAAGGCTTGGATGCGCTGCGGCTTGCGGCCACCATGGTGGCGGAGCTGGAGCTGTTCAGGTGAGCGCAGGACGGGCCGGGGGGTCCCGGGGCCGGGCACGGGCGGGATGGGAGCGGGAACGGGAGAGAATCCCAGAATCATTGAGGTTGGAAAGGCCCTCAAAGACCATCGAGTTCACCCTATGCTCGATCCCCACCTTGTCCCCCAGCCCAGAGCACTGAGCGCCACGGCCAGTCCTTCGTTGGACACCTCCAGGGGTGGGGACTCCAAACCTCCCTGGGCAGCCCCTGCCAAGGCCCGACCACCCTTTCCAGGAAAAAATTCCTCCTGATGTCCCACCTGACCCTCCCCTGGCACAGCTTGAGGCCGTTCCCTCTCCTCCTGTCCCTTGTTCCCTGGGAGCAGAGCCCGATCCCCCCCAGCTCCCCCCTCCTGTCAGGGAGTTGCAGAGCCAGAAGGTCCCCCCTGAGCCTCCTTTTCTCCAGGCTGAGCCCCTCCAGCTCCCTCAGCCGCTCCTGCTGCTCCAGCCCCTTCCCAGCTCCCTTCCCTGGACTCCCCAGTCTCTCCCGTTGCAGTGAGAACGAGGAGCTGGATGAAGTCGCCTCGGCCGACCTGAAGTTCCTGCTGCTGCCCGCGCTCCAGGGAGCCCTGACGCTGAAGCAGGTGGACCTGAGCAGGCGGCAGCAGCACCTGGAGAGCGCCCGGGATCACTTCCTGCACTTCCTCAAGCTCTGCAGGAGCTACGGGCTGGGAACGTTCCAGCTGCCTCCCAGCACTCCCGGGGATGAGGGAACCGGGAGCCCCCCAGACTCGGGGAACCCCCCGGGTGCCCAGCCCAACCTGGTGGCCATGGCCATGAGCAGGAACGCCAAGATCGAGAGGTGGGCTCAGGGCACTGGGAAAGGGCCTTGGGAGAAGGGGGAGCTTCAGGCAGGGCATGACTGGGCAGAGAAGGGGCTACTTCCGTGGGCAATGGAATAATTGGATCACAAAATGTT